ATCTGCTCTCACAGGGTTTCATTTCCAAACCTTTTATTATGTTGGTTACCCTCCTCTGAACTCTTTCCAGTTAGCTGGAAAGCATACTCTATCCAATAATATCATGTTATCATGGGGAGCACAGAGGTCATATCCTGACCAGAAGGTTACTGGGTAGCCCCACAGGCATACATTTTTTTCTTCATGCCTGAGGTAGCTTGAATATTCTGGGTCTCTTGCCCAGGCATACCCTGAGTAGACAACAAGTGGGAAGGGGTTAGCAGACAGGTATCCACGTGTTCTGGGCAAGAGTCATTGCTTATTCTGAGAAACACTAATCAGTTCAATTTCTCTTTGTGGCTACTTTGAACTGCAGCCTTCTTCTTAACTCAAAACACCAAAACTGAGTGATAACTAACAATTATTGAGTGCCTATGATGTACTAGGCACTGTGCCAAATGCTTAACATTTATGAACTCATTTAGTCCTTACAGTATCCATTTACATTAGGTTATTATCTTCACTTTATTGATTAGGAAACTAAGATTTATACTGGGTCCAGCTTACATGGTTGGGAAATGAAGCAACAGGAATTTGAACTCCTGGATTTGACTGTGAAACCTATGTCCTTAACTATGACATCCGATTGTTTAAACACTCAAGAAGAATAGGCAGAAAATACTGGACACAAAATTATTATAATAGGAAGGGCATTTGCTTTTTTTAAAAAAGGTAGAGTCTTGCAATTCATATAGTATAGCAATATGATTTCCTGGTTTTAAAAAGTGAGAAATAATTCATGCATATTTCCCTTCCTGGATATTAAAAATGAATATTGTATATCAAAGGCTCTAAGAAATCCTGATGCAAAGAAACCTGTTTAAGCCCAAATTCTTTAAATTTATAATTAACAGAGAATAGTTCTTCACTAAGGGAGTATAATAATATACAGTAGACTTTACCATTTGTTACAATAATACACTGAGTTGTACATATAATAATTCTAATCTTCATGATAACCTTGCAATAAATACATTATTATTTCAATTTTATGGGTGAGGAAACTGACTCTGAGAGATCTCTCTCTCTCTAAAGGTTATATATGGGTAATTTTACTGATTAAGGATTTTATTCCAGTTCTATAGGATTCTAATGTCCTTGCTTTTGCATGCCTGCTTAAAATATTTATTCTCTCACCAAAGGCCTCAAAAGAAGAAAGAAAATTCAGTTTTAAGGGTTATTATTGCCTCATCCTCATTTTGAACATCTTGGACATATGAAAGCCCCTTAATAAGGAGGAAAGAGCACAAGAGCACAAGCTTGGTGTCAGGAAATCTTGGGCTATTTGTTCTATCTGGTATTTCTTATGTTTTTTCTGTTTTTACCTGGTTTCTTTTGGGTTAATTTAGTTTTTATTTAAATTCTACATTTTTTTCCTCTGGTATTATCTTGTTAACTATATACAACTTTGTTTTATTATTTCAGTAGTTACTCAGGGTTTACAATATACATTTTAAGCTTATTACTGTCTACCTTCAAGTCATGTATAGATTAAGACTCTTATAACAGAATGTTTCTATTTCCCCACCTTTGTGTTATTGTTGTCATATGTTCTATTTTTACATGTACTATAAACCTGATAATTCATTGTTACTATTTTTGCTTTAAACAGCTGATTCATTGATAGCCTCTTTGACAAGGTGATATTTGACCAGGCCCTGAATGATGGAAGACAGAACTGTAAAGACTAAACAGGGGGAATAGCAAGGATAAAGGCTCTCAAATAGAATGAGCTTAGTGTGTTTAAGAAATAATAAGCAAACTAGGGCAGGTGAAGCATAATGAGCAAGAAGGAGAATGGAAAGTGATGATGTGGGAGAGGCAAACAGAGGACAGAACACATAAGACCTTGTAGGCTAGGGCATGGAGTTTGTATTTTAATCTAAGTGTGATGCTACTGGAGGGTCTGGAGCAGGAGAGGGATATAATTTTAAGAAGATTATAATTATAATTGGCTGTTGTATGACTAGTAGGCTCTAGGGTGGGGAAGATGGAAGGAGGGAGACTGGTTAGAGGCTTTGTGATAGATCAATCTGGAAAATTAAAATTATTTATGTGTAAAGTCAACAGGCCTTTGAAAGAGAGACAGTGGAGAAGATGAGTCAAGGAAGGGAGGGCTGAGCAATTAGTCAGGAGGCTGGAGCTCATGAGAAAAATATCTAGTGAGAAATAGTAACTAGAGAGATTCCCGGGGTCAGTGTGTCTGAGAAACTTTAAAAACAAGGCTGTCTACCATTCTATTTTAAGTTATCTGTGGGTCTGTGATGTAAGCTTCTTCTACTATCCTAAGCCATAGTACACATTTGCTGCATGTACTGTCCGGTGGTACTTTGAGGGTAGAAAGAAATCAAGCTGGTGTCCCGTGCAGTACCAGCAGCATAGGAAAGGAGAATTAGCAGAACATGACAAGATGTTTCATGAGGTGAACTAATTTAGTGGATCTGAGAGTATAAAACCATCAGTGATGAGCAAAAATAAAAATTCCTCCAAGAATATCAGGAGAGACTGGGATAAACATTGGGTTTTTCAGCCCATAGGTCATTGTGATTTGAGCCAGCCCATTTGAATCTCAAAAGGGCAAGGTGACCTGGTGGATCACAGTTCACATGAGGAACTGAAGAACAAAGAGTAGTTTGATGGTGTGTGGCTATGTCCGCAGCATAAATCTTTAGGTTTGTCTTTCCAAGCCAGATGTTTTTCCCAGAAGTTACTTATTAATAATTTATGTACTCATGTGACAAATATGTCCTGAGTACTTACTACATGTCAGGTCTTGTGTTAAAAACTGAAGCTACTGCTCTAAACAACACAGCAAACATAACATAGCTTACCCCAGTTAGAGTAACTTGACCCCACTCAATAGTTCAGAATGGGCTCAATTCAGAGCTGGGCATTTTGACCCAGTGAGACACGAGGACACCCAGGCTGGGCTTCCATTCTCTTCTGTACGGATCTTCTGCTGTCCTTCATGGGGGTATCCGGTGGCTATTAAATAATAACCCCCAAACCTAAAAACCGTAGCTGTTTTTATTATCACTATATATTCTTTATCTCTTAACTTTCTGATTTCCCTTAGTATTTTTATGTGAACTACATTTCTAAAATAGTTTCCTTAAATAGTCATAATTTTTTTTAATAATTTAATATGTAGCTTATAGCAACAAAATTTTTGGTGTATGATCAAATTATTTCCTGAAAAAGTCTAAGTCAGTTCTAGAACAGAATAGTTTCTAAACATTTTACCAGAAAAAAAAATTTATCTATCTTACAAGAATGTTCATAGCAATGGTAACCATATATGTCTAAAAACTAGGAATAACACAAATGTCTATCAGTAATAAAACAGGTAAATGAATCATGATATATTCAAACAGTTGAAATATACATAGCAATGAAAATGAATGGAGTACATGCAGTGACATGGTTGAAGCTCACAAACATAATATTGAGTGAAAAAAACTAAGTACAAAGAGTACTACTTGTATGATTTTTTTAAATATAAAGTTTGAAAACAGGGAAAATTCTTCCATGGTGTTGGAAGTCAGGAGAGTGACTGCTCTAGGGGGTATAATGGCTAGAAGGAATTTCTAGAGGTTGATCATGTTATGTTTCTTGATCTGGGTGCTGGTTACACAGATACATTCACTTTGTGAAAATTCATTGAGGTGTATACTTACAATTTGTGCACTTATCTGTATAGATAGTATAGTGGAATAAAAAGCTTACTTTAAAAAAATAGAGTTAAGGTACATTTTATTATATTTCCTAAAATTTATAGTTCACTTTTTTGAAATGCTGTGAATTCTCAATGAATATTTGGTGATGATGAATCCTATCGTTTTAATTTAAATTTTCCTTTTGTCATGCTCTTGGGAAATAATTTTTCAGCAAATAGATGTCGGAAAGTCTTACAAAAAAACAAAGCAAATATTTATAGTAAGTAATCAGCACTATCTAAACATGAGACCTAGCCAAGCAAAATGGTTCTAAGCCAGTGTTACATTTATTACAAAAAAAAAAAGATGTGCATCACTGAACTCTCAAGCAGACAGAATTTACAAATTCTATTGAGCTAGAGATTTGTTTTGATTTTGAAAAAAATTAAAATTTCAAACTTATCTTCCTCAACATGACTCCTTTTTGCTAGAGTAATCTATAAATAGAAAATATGCTTTCATTTTCTCTCATAAATATTTCTTGAGTCTGTTTTATCATCTACATCTCAGCCATCCTTGCTTTGGCAAAGGTTTAAATTCTCTATTTCCTGGAATACTAAAATAGACTGAGAATCTGTCGCAACCCAACCCCAGTCTTGTTTTCTTGAAACAGCCTCCACCTAGCCTCCACTATGGAGCAACAAATTAATCAGTATATTCCCTGCCTTGAAACTGTTTTAATTTTTGGAAACTCCATTCTTAGAGTTCTCTGGCCAAACGCTTTCACTGCATTCTTGATTCCCCCTTTTTTCGGTCTGTCAGAAAAATCCAATGAATTATATTTTCAAAACATAATCAGAATCTGACCATTTAATGTCACCAGCTACCACCTCAATCAGAGTCATCATCATTTCTTGCCTGGACTATTGCAAAAGGCTCCTACCTAATCTCCCTGCTGCCATTCTTATCTCCCCACAGTCTATACTCAATGTAGTACCAGAGTGAAGTTTTTAAAAATGTTAAGTCAGATTCTGGTACTTCTACATCTCAAAGCCCTCAATGGCTCCTACTTCACTTAGAGAAAGAGCCAAGCCCTTATGGCAGCCTTATAAAGACTGCTGCCATATTACCTCTCGGACTTTTTGTCTTGCTCAAATACTCCACTCTAGGCACACTGGTTTCCTTGGTATTCTGTGAACACATCAGGCCCAAGCATACCTCAGTCCTTCCACACTTGCTCTTTTCTCTGCCTTGAAATGCTCTTTCTCAGAAAGCCACAAACCTTGTTTTGTTGCTTCCTTCCAGTGTTTTGGTCAGATGTCCTCATCTCTATAAAACGAACCTTGAACAGCCTGACTTACTCTGAAGGCATGTTGGACAATAAAGGATGGAAAACTGGAAGGAGGGAAGGAAACCATGGTTCTTCAGGGAATTAGAATCTACTGGCCGTCACAGATATGTAAGCAGAAAATTACAATGTAGTATAGTAAATGCTATGATGGAATTGAAAAATATTATCCTAAACAGAGAAGAAAGGTAGAAGTAGGACATAGATATTTGACGGTGAATTGCATATACCTGAGAATTTATGAGAATGTGAAGGATGGGAGGAGGACTAAGGATTGCACACTAGGGAGTGGTCAGACATGTGATTAAACATTCAGGCAAGAATCTTATCGTGGAAACCATTATTACATGGAGAATTTCAAGAATAAAAGAGATGGCCTGAATATAGAGTATCAGAGCTGGTGTAAAGTTACTAACAACCTTGATATGTGCAATTTCAAAAGAATGCTGAAGAAATAAACCATTTGGCCATTGTTTTAGTCCATTTATGTGCCTATAGAAAATTACCATACACTGAGTATTTTATACCCTCTTTATAATCAAATGTATTTCTCACACTTCTAGAGACTAGAAGGTTCAAGATCAAGGTGCCAGGAGATTTAGTGTCTGGTGAGAGCCCCATTTCTGGTTCATTGATGACACCTTCTTGCTGTGTCCTTAGGTAGTGAAAGGTGCAAGGATATCTGTAGGGTTGCTTTTATAAGGGCACTAATCCTATTCATGATGTCTCTACCCTCATGACCTAATCATCTCCCCAAAGCCCCGTCTCCTAATACCATCACCTAGAGGGTTAGGATTTCAATATATGAATTTTGGGGGACATAAACACTCAGACAACAGCACCAGTGGATTGAGGCCTGAATGAGGTTGTAGAAATGGAACTGGTGAATGTAAACTATATATTCTTTCAAGAAATTTGTTAAGAAGGGAAGAAGGAAGTTGGATTTACTAAGAGGAAATTTAATTTTGCTCAAGGCAATGATGAAAACAGAGGAAAGAAAGAAAGTTTGAGAATACTAAATTTCTGTGTAATTGAGGGGAAGTTGCCATACCCTGGAGTGGGGTTATAGGGTGGGGGAATAGCTGGAGAAAAACTGGCAAATGAGAAGGTGGAGGGATGTGGCTCAGCCTGACTGAGTAGGAAAACATTTAGAGATGGATGTTTATACTCAACCATCATCTTGAATTATGAAAAGGAGAAAAGATAATATAAGGAATGGCTGCACAGTTGACCCTTGGATAATGCAGGCATAGGGGCATCAACCCCCAAACAGTCAAAAATTTATGTACAACCTTTGACTCCCCCAAAACTTTACTACTAATAGCCTACTGTTGACCAAAAGCCTTAGTGGTAACGTAAACAGTTGATTAACCCATACTTTGTATGTTATATATATTATATGCTGCTTTATTACAACGCAGAGAAAAGAAACTGTTGTGGAGAAAATCATAAGGAAAATGTGTTTACTACTCATTAAGTGGAAGTGGATCATCATAAAGGTCTTCATCCTTGTCCTTTTCACATTGAGTTGGCTGAGGAGGAGGAGGAGGAAGAAGAGGGGTTGGTCTTACTGTCTCAGCATGGCAGAGGCAGAAGAGGAGGAGGAGGTGAAAGGGGAGGGGAGGGAGGGAGGCAGGAGCACTTGGTGTAACTTTTTTTTCTTTTATTTCACCATATTATGGGGGTACAATTGTTTAGGTTACATATATTACCTTTGCTCCATGTGAGTCAGAGCTTCAAGCATGTCAATCCCCTAGACGGTGCACACCACACCCATTAGGTGTGTATAAACCCCACTCCCTTCCTCCCACCTGCCCAAAACCCGATGAAAGTTACTACTATATGTGCACTTAAGTGTTGATCAGTTAATACCAATTTGCTGGTGAGTATATGTGGTGCTTGTTTTTCCATTCTTGGGATACTTCACTTAGTAAAATGGGCTCCAGCTCTATCCAGGATAATATAAGAGGTGCTAGATCACCACTGATTTTTGTGGTTGAGTAGAATTACATGGTATACATATACCACATTTTATTAATCCACTCATGTATTGGTGGGCACTTGGGTTGTTTCCACATCTTTAAAATTGTGAATTGTGCTGCTATACACATTCAAGAGCAGATGTCTTTTTTATAGAATGTCTTTTTTTCCTTTGGGTAGATGCCCAGTAGTAGGATTGCTGGATCAAATGGTAGTTCTACTTTTAGCTCTTTGAGATATCTCCATATTCCTTCCCACAGAGATTGTACTAGTTGTAGTCAGTGTGACTTTTACTGAAAAAAAAAAAAAATCCATGTATAAGTAGACCTGGGTAGCAGAAACTCATGATGTTCAGAGTCTGTCTGATGAGCAACATAATATTTATACCGTGTTTCCCCGAAAATAAGACCTACTCATAAAATAAGCCCTAGCAGGATTTCTAAGCATTTGGGCAATATAAGCCCTACCCCGAAAATAAGACCTAGTGATGGGCGTGGCTACACAGTGTATCTGCACAACCCATGCATTTTGTCGCGGAGCAGTAAAGAAGACAAGCAGCCCTTCTCATCTGCCCCATGAGAGCTCTATTGCTTGACATGAGAGATTGGGGCCAATGGTTCTAAAGGAAATAGAGTCACAAGAAATTCAGGATGGAATTCAGGGTTTGGAGAGTTATGATGATGTTCCAGAAGAAGATGACTTAACTATATTTGAATAAATGTAGATTGTTGTACCGTACTTAAACACACACACACACACACACATCCCCTGAAAATAAGCCTTAGGGTGTCTTCTGGAGGAAAAATAAATATAAGACCCTGTCTTATTTTGGGGGAAACACAGTAATTGTAAATAACATTTTTTTGGACATGATCAGTATTTATTTTGGCAGTGCTTAACATTCTACTTTTCAGAATGCTCACATTTACTGTTCACAGTTTTAGAGACCTTAATTGTATTGCCTCTTTGACTTTATCTGCCAAATCTGAGATTTCTAATTCTTTTACTCTATTTTAATTTGGAAACCACTATAGTTCCATAATAATTTAAACTTCACTTCTTTGGGTCTTTTCTCATTCTGTTTACTTTGTATTGAGTTATGATGACCACAGGCAATGGTTTTTCTCTTCTATCTGAATGTACCACTTAAGAATGGCCGGCCTTTTATGAGTCTTTTTGGCCACAACATCACCGATGCCTCTAAGAATAGTTGACAAGGCCTCTGGACCTCTCTCCCAGGTGGAAGTTTACACATCAGGGCCATCACTGCAGTGATAGTGATTCTTAAATTCAACTGATTCCAGATACTTTCTTTACCCCACTCAATTCCTGCCCTTTCAGACTTGCATTAACTTGGTTTGAACTAGGGGCAAAATTTGGTTTAATTTGCAGAGCTCACCAAATATGTGTTCAAAGTGTGTCTAATAATATTATTGGAAGAGAGAGGAAGCAAATTACACTTAAACTTCCTTTTGAGCTTTCCAGCCATGACCTTAGAAATTCATGGAGAAAACCATAACACTGAATATTACTTGTCATTATATATTATTACATGTTATTATAGGGCATTTATCGTTTTATATGATGTGTGATGATTAGTGAGATTTTTCCCCTATAAAATTAGAAAGCAGACCTGCACTTTTGGTAATTCTATCCTTATGTTTGCTACTCTTCATACTTTGCACTTAGTAAGTACATTTAAAATTGGGAATCAGAAGGCAGACTGTCAAATTTTTTTCTTTAACCCCCAGCTATTAAAACTAGACACAGAACCATAAATAGGAAACCTGCATAGACAAAGGTAGATGTAATAAAAATAAGTCCCCCTTGCACATTACATATTCCAGGAATGGATTTTAGTGCTGCTCCACTGCAAATGGTATTCTGCAGTTCCACCGCAGCAGCAATAGAAGGACTTTCCATTTACGATGCCACTGTGATGCCTCATGGTCAGGGCCCTAGTGCCCTGATGTGCAGGCTGCATCTGTTGTGGATTGATATTGATACAATAGGGTTCTCTGCACAGAGAAGGTAGGCGAGGCAGTGCCAAGTGTTAAGGCATGGATTGGCATGATTTCTGATGGCCATGGAATAGTCTCATTGGATAAAGGGAAACTGTCACCAGACGATATGAGAGTCACAGATCCTGTGGTCCTGAGAAGTGTGTGAAAGGAAGTGAGTTGTCTGTGAAGGCTGCCTTAGCCCCATGTGGCTCCAGGGCAGTAGTGATGGGGAGCTCCTCAGAAAAGCAGGGTGTTATTGTCGTGTACATCCATAGGTCTCTTCAAGAAAATTCCCATCTTCCAGCTTGTTATGGGTTAAATTGTTTGTCCCCACTACTCTTCCCCACTACTCTTCAAATATATGTGTTGAAGTCTTGGCCCCCAGTATCTCAGAATGTGACTATGTGGAGACGGCATCTTTACAGGGGTAGTCAAGGTAAAGTGAGGTCTTTAGGGTGGGCCCTAACCCAATATGACCAGTGTCCTTATAAGAAGGGGAAATTGGGGCACAGTGAAACATATGGAAGAAAGATGATATGGAGAGCCACAGAGAGAAGATGGCCATCTACAAGCCAAGGCAAATGGCCTTAAATAGGTCCTTCCCACACAGCCCTCAGAGGAAACTAATCCTGCTGATGCCTTGATTTCAAATTTCTAGCCTCCAGAACTGTGAGACAATACCTTTCTGTCATTTAAGCCACCTGATTTATCATAATTTGTTATGGTAGCCCTAGCAAGCTAATATCTGGCACTCCTGACCCCCCTCACCCAGCCCACACTTTCCCAGGTTTATCACCACTCCACTTCTCCTTCACAAGGCATTTCTTGTTTCATGCCTCGTGGAAGACTTGTTCTTCCTCCCAAGGTTTCATCCCGAACTGTTTATGTGCTGGGAATCCACCCTTTATTTGTACTTCTGCATTCATTATACAGAGAATGGGTTCCTTTTCCTGTGTTTTCTGTGTACATATTTCTTCTTGGAGCAGTGGATGTGGGCCAACCTAGGTGACTAAATGAGGGACACAGGACCAAGGATATAAAAGAAAATATCATAATAAAATTATCCCTTAATTAATATTTCAATAACATCATCATGTTTCTCACATCTAGATATGATTTAACATCACC